GCTTTCTTTCTCTTTATTTTTTGTGTATTTATTATAGGTTTTTGGGGTTTGTAGTTACCATAAGATTTATATATATCATTCTAAATAAATAGCAGTCCATATTAATTTGATGGTCATTTAAGTTCAAAAACATTCTTAAAAAAACAAAAAATAGAAAAAGAAAAAAGTGTTTTTCTTTTCCCCGTTTTACTCCATATTTTTTACTGCCTTCTCCATATTTTATGTATGTTATAATATTTTACATCTTTTATTTTATATTTTTCTTATGTCTAATTATGGCCATGTCTTTTTCACTTAAAAAAAAAAGTCCCTTTAACACTTCTTGTAAGGCTGGGTTAGTGGTAATAAACTCCTTTGTTTGTCTGGGAAACTCTATCTCTCCGTCAAATCTAAATGATAACCTTTCCAGGTAGAGTATTCTTGACTGTAGTTTTTTTTTTTTTTTTTCTTTTCAGTACTTTGAACATATCATGCCACTTGCTTCTGGCCCACAAAGTTTCTGCTGAAACATCAACAGATAGTCTTACAGGTTTTCCGTTGCAGGTAACTATTTATTTCTCTTGTTGCTTTTAGGATTCTTTCTTTATCTTTAACCTTTGACATTTTAATTATTATGTACTGCGCATGGTGTGGACCTCTGTGGGTTCATCTTGGTTGGAACTTTCTGGGCTTCTTGGGCTGAGATGTCTATTTTCCTTCTTATTTCCTTCCCTAGGTTATGGAAATTTTTAATTGTCATTTCTTCTAATAGATTTTCTACACCTTTCTCTTTCTCTTTGGAGACTCCTATAATGTGAATGTTTGTTCACTTGATGTTATCTAAGGGATCTCTTAATATATCCTCATTTTTAAAAATCATTTTCCTTTTTTGCTGTTCAGCTTGGGTGTTTTCCATTATCTTGCCTTCCAGATTGATGATCCATTCTGCTTCTGCTAATCTACTGTTGACTCCCTCTAGTGTATTTTTTAATTTCAGTTATTGTATTTCTCTCTTATTAGTTCTTTTCAACATTTTCTATCTCTTTATTGAAGGTCTCACTGAGTTCTTCCATTCTTTTCTCTAACCCAGTGAGTATCTTTACAATCATTACTTCAAATTCTTTATCAGGTGCATTGCTTATCTCTGTTTAATTTTTTTACCGGGGCTTTTTTTCCTTGTTCTTTCTTTTAGAGCATATTTCTCTTCCTCCCCATTTTGCTTTCTTTTATGTGCTTCTATGGGTTAGATGAAATTGCCACTACTAAAGTTGAAGGAGTGGTCTTGTATATAGTGACCCCTTATGTAGATTGTATATGCTTGGTGACTCTGTATACTGGCTGGCTGGAACTTTGGCTGTATATGTTAGTTACTCTTTTAAACCATGGCTTTTTACAGGGAGAATACATTTAAAGATACATTTTAACAAGAGAAAAAATAAAATAATAAGAGAAGGAAAAAAAAAACAAAAGAAAAGGAAAAAGAAGAGAAAAAGAGAATAAGAAGGAAAAGAAAAAAACAAAAAAAGACAAAATTTAAAAAGTAATAAATAAAATAAATCAGTAAAAATGTAAAAGAAAAATGCAGTTTATTTTCTGTCTTAGCACCACAGAGCAGCTGTAGACTCACTGAAGTAGGAAGCCTTTCAAAATGACTGGACTTTCCTGCCATGGTGTCCAGACCCTGCTCTGGTCCAGGCTTCCAAGGTAGGGTAGAAGTGTAAACCATGTAGTTCTATAGTTCCTCTGACCTGTAGAGCTTTCCCACAGGTCCTCTGCCATTTGGTCTATTTTATATGCTATTGTTCTTTCTTTTATATGCTCGTCACTATATGCTAGTTGCATATGCTAGTTTATATGCTAGCTGCTCTTTTAAACCACAGGTATTTTTCCTGTGTCCAAGGACAGAGAAATCTGTTTTTGGCCTTAGTATTATCCCTCCCAAATGCTGATAATAGCATACTGTGTCTCTGTTTCTCTTGTTGCTCTCTGACTGTTCTCTCTGTCTTTGTTCGGTAGTTGTTCAGTCAGTCCTCAGTTCTTCAAAAGGAATTGTTCCGTAAATAGATACAATTTGGTGTGTTCTATGGATGAGGTGAATTTAGAGTCTTCCTACATAGGCATCTTGAACCTGATTTGAAAAATGTAATATTTGAGATAATGACTCAGTAGAACTTTTACAACAAATGGGACATAGCTGAGCAGAGAATTAACATGTTAGATTATATATCTGAAGCATTAAGAGACAAATAAATTTTTAAAAATGTGAGTAGGGAAAGAAAATATATGGATAGAGTGAGGAGATCTAACAAACATGTTATCAGAGAAAGAGAGAGAGAGAATAAGAAGGGGAAATATTTGAAGAAATTATGGCTAAGAATTTTCCAGAACTTAAAAATGACAAAACTCCTTAAATTCACGAAACCTAATTAATTTCAAACAGGATAAATAAAAAATCTACACCTAGACACATGATGGTGAAACTGGAGTGAAATTTATATCACAGCAAAGTTGCTCAGCATTAAAAACTGAGACAATAGCATTAAAATAGCTTGAGAATAAAAGACAGATCACCTACAAAGCGATACCAATTAGTCTGTCATCTGACTTCTGAACAGCAACATTGGAAACTAGAAGATGTGGAATAATATCTTCATATGCCATGGGAAAATACTTGTCAACTCAGAATTATATAACCAATGAAGCTAACTTTCAATAATAAAAATGAAGTAAAGTTATTTTCAAACAAAATTTGAGGTTACTAACAGATTCTTATTATGAAAAATTCCAAATTATGAACTTCAAGGAGACAGAAGTTATCTTGTATCAAAGTTTAAGATGTAATGTGCAATGATAAATAATAAAATAGATAGCCACATTAATAAATATTGATTTGTAAAACAAGAATATTTTAGTGTGGTTAAAATAAAATAATGCAAAATGAAAAAACATGGCAACAATATCATGTGCAAATAAGAAAGAGCATAATGTAGGACTTGGGTAAATTAAGTATGTATGTTAAATATGATATATAGTAGAACAAAAAATGAGAAGAATGATTACTCTAAACATAGATTTAAAAAAAGAAAAAGAAACATAATAAAAATCCAGGTCAAAGAGAAAGTACACAGTAATGTTGTAGGAATAAATTCAGATAATCCATCATTATGGTAAATGTAAATGAACTATACTCTGCAAGGCAAAGTTTATGAGGATAGCTATATTAACAAACTCAAGATAAAAACTCAAGAGCTATATCTAAGACATACAGACATGAGGAATGAAAGTTAAGGGATAGAAAAAGATAAATCAACAGATATAGAACTAGGTCTCCAATATTCCTGTTTCATTAATGACATTTGACAAAACCACTTGCTTCAAGTTACACTGGGCACTAGATTCAAATGTGCTCTCTTTATTTATATGTGCATCTAGCCAACTATTTCTTAATGTGACTAATGACTCCATCCCTAATTAGTTGGGATTACCTTCTGTGATATAGTGCCATGGGCTATGTTGATAAAATAATACCCTAATGTGACCTTATCCCTATGGAGACTTCAGTTCAAGTGCTTCATGGGAAAGGCTCCTGTTAGCATCATTTTGGTGAATGGTCTCCAACCCTTGAGATGGAATTCATATTTTCACAAAGGCCTTACTTCAGGGGGTATAATGTTGTATGTTCATGGAGATTGTTTAGGAAAAGATGTTAAGAATGGGGCACTTAGGAGGTTCAGTTCTGGAATTATCCAGTAGCAGCCTTTGGTTTTTTTTTGCCTTTGTGTGAAGCAGTCTATGATTGGGCATATTTTTTTTTTTTTTAATTTTCAGCCCCTGATATTCCTAATCCAGTTAAGTGGAAGTCAGTGTGCTTCGCTTTGCATCATTACTGAGCCAATCTACTAACTGCCCATTGCCTCTGTGTATATGAGGAAGTGGAGTACATTGGACTGAGGAATGGTTACTGGGCATTTAGCTCGACTCATTTAATACATTGAGGGACTCATTTCTACACGTCTGTCTTATACAGCATATGATTCAGGTTAATGCCTCAACAAAATGAGAAATTCTTGGTACCAGAGACCTTGTAGGTTTGTTATGAATAGGTGAAAAAATTTTAATGTTAATTTTTACAAATTTTAGGTTTCTACTGACACTTTGCTGCTTCTGTTTTGACTGTCACGTCACATTTCCTATTAGAGTTTTAAATAATTTCTCCAATTCTCTTTCCTTTAATTAATTTCACACATGCCCACCATGTTAATTTCCCATAGCAAAGTTCTGAATATGTAATCTTTGTTCAGAAACCTTCCATTATTGTTTGGTGCTTAAAGAAAATAGTCAAACTACTTATTCCAGTCACAGACTCTTTGTCAACTGATTAGTCATTCTTTCCAAAACAGTTTTTTTTTTACCACTATTCCTCTTTTTCATTCTTAATTCTGTCAAAGTTAATATTTGTTCTTTGTATATATTCTATGTTTCCTGCTTATTTGCCATTATTCATGTTGTGCTTTCTCCCTATGGTGCTCTTACTCTCTTCCATAACAATTATTTTTGGTGTCCTAGTAAAAACTGGGAAAAATAATCTTCAGGTATTATTATGCATAAGTAGAGAATAACTGAATATTATAGTCAAAATTATCATGGTCAGAGTGGACAAAAACGAGCTAAGTGGTCTCCTTAGAGAATTCCTCATTAACTAGTTTGTTCACTCCTAGATGTGTAGGATATTGCCTTAAACTCCAGCTGTGTGTGTTGGTGTTTATGTGTGTGTGTGTGTGTGTGTGTGTGTAAGAGAGGAAAGAAGTATTTTGTGTACACTTGTAGACATTTCACCAAGACTGAGCATCTTTCCTCTATAGGATCTGATTTTAATGGGTGATACAAAATATAAGTCAGGATATTTGTATTTTTTTTGCCCCAGCCAATCAAGAGGTTTCACCTAAACTTCTAGAAAGGAAGGTGAAATAAAGTCTCATCTATACCTTTTTGTATGTACACAGGACATTTGTTGACTACTGTAGACAGCATGGAAAAGTTCAACATCATAGAATCTAAAGACCTGTGTGGACCTGGTCAAGCTGACCATGTCCAGAGAAAATGTCCCTTGAAGTAGGTATATTTTGGTAAGTAAGTGATCTCATATCAATCAGATCTCTTTGTCTAAACTACTCTCTTTTTATTGTTGCTTTAGTCCTAGTAAAAAGAGGCATAAGCCAATGATAAATACTGATCAACACATTGTGAGATTTCAGAAGGTTTGGGTGATATAGGCGATCCATTGAGGATGTGGACTAGTGTGACTTCTGTATTGTTTCCCATGGATTCTTATATTTGGTTTTTCAAAAATGCCTTATAGGCCATGTGAGAGGCAAGGAGGAGGCTGATATGGATTGAATTGTAACCCTCCAAAATTCATGTCAAAGCTCTGACTTCCAATGTTACTGTATTTGGAGATAGGGCCAGGAAGGAGGTAATTAAGGTTAAATAAGGTCATAAAGATGGGCTCTAATTCTCTAGGCCTGGGTCCTTATAGAAAGAAGAAGAGGTACCAGAAGCATACTGGCACAAAGGAGAGTCCATGTGAAGATGCTGTGAGAATGTAATCATATGGAAGTGAAGGAGAGAATCTAACCACAGACTAACCCTGCTGACACTCTCATCTTGGGCCAGAATTAGAAGAAAATAATTTTCTGTTATTTAAGCTACCCAGTCTATGATATTCTACTGTGGCAGCCCTAGCAGATGAATACAGAGGCCAAGTAAGCAAATTTGGTCTCTGTATCACCATTTAAACTGGATTTACTACACTCCTACTCTTTACATATTAGAATTTTATGTAAGAATTCCTTCTTTTTAAAAATAAATGTCTTACTGTAAAAAATTTAGTCAGGTAAATATATTATGTACCAATTTATTCATGTATTTATAATGGAAACATTTCTTCCTACTGGTCCCATATTGTGTCTCTAATCAGAATGCTTCCATTGGGCTCCTTTTCTTGTCTTTCTGGACACACAGATGGCCACACCATTGAAATATAAGTTACTCTGATGACAGAAAAGAAGATACCACTCATCTTTATGATTTCATCTTGCCTATGCTATGGACTGAATGTATGTATCCCTTCCAAATTCATATGTTGAAATTTGAACTTCCAATGAGATGGAGGTGGGAACTTTGGGAAGTAATTGGGTTTAGATGAGGTCAGAATGGTAAAGTCTTCCTGATGGTATTAGTATCCTTATAGGAAAAGATCAGAAAGCTAGTATCTTGTCAGCCACATGAAACCGTAGCAAGAAGACTGATAACCAGGAACTGGACTCTCACCAGGAATGGGGACCTCACCAGGAACCGAATCAGCTGGCACTTTGGAGTTGGACTTCTAGACTTCAGAGCTATGAACAATAATTTTCTGTTATTTAAGCCACATAGTCTGTGATATTCTGTTACAGCAGCTTGAGCTGACCAACATACCCCGACTCCCTCACCCCATTCTGTAATTATGTATGGATATGTACTTAGAAGTATTAGATGTGTAAGTAAATTTCACACCAACCCATTCAAAAGTGGCCTCTTGAGCCTCCTTGACAACATATAAACCTATGCTATAAATCATTTAGTAACAGAAAGCATCCTAGAGTGCAGGTTTTAAAGATCCTTAAAGATTTCTATTAAGAGTTTACTTTTATTTCATAAGTAGTTTTAACCATTTTTATCTCCATACAAATTCCTGTGTCTTCTTCTATTGCCTAGGTTATTCTCTTAGAGATTTTACAAAGGGAATATTTGCCTGGTACTGGCCCAAGTGATAAATTAGAATTAACTACCTATGACTGGTTACTATTCCTACTCATTCCCCACTCCAGGCATAGCTCATTTTATTATGCTTCACAGATATTGTGTATGGTTTTTTGTTTTTTGTTTTTTGTTTTTTACAAGTTGAAGGTTTGTGGCAACCTTGCCTAGGGCAAGTCTGTCGGCACTGTTTTTCCAACGGCATTTGCTCACTTCACATGTCTGTGCCATATTTGGGTAATTCTTGAAATATTTAATAGTTTTTTATTACTATTATAATTGTTATGGTGTGCTGTAATTAGTAATCATGACTCATAAAAGCTCAGAAGAAAAAAAAATAAAAGCTCAGAAGATGGTTAACATTTTTTGGCAGTAATATATTTTTAAGTTAAGGTATATACATTATTTTTAAAGACATAGTGCTATTGCACACTTGATGGACTACTGTATAGTGTAAACATAACTTTCATATGCGCTGGGAGATTGATTTGACTTATTTTATTGAGAGATTTGCTTTATTGCAGTGTCTGGAACTGAACCTGCATTATCTCTGAGGTATGCCTATATTGTTACAAAAACTACTTGAAGAGAGGCTTCAGTTTATACATCTCATTTGATCTTTGCACTACCCTCTGAGGTTGGTTATGGATATTTTCATTATTCATATGAGGAAACTAAGGCACAAGGAGTTAAAAGTAACTAAAATTATAATGATAATAAGAAGGTCATTTAAGTTTTGAATTATACATTTTATTCCATATCATTTCCTTGGCTTTTTATGTGTTTAACCTATGTAAAAAATAAAAGCCAGAGAAACATATATTTATAGGTTGAATAGTCAGCTATGAATCCGTATGGTCAATTATAATCAGGTCCAGATGGTTAGTGCTCTGAGCTACTAGAGACCCCATTTGATGCCCCAGTTACCTACCATCATCACGATTAGGATGGGCATCAGCCGACACTTAATAAAGGAGACAGCATAATTTAGTGGAAAGAACATGGGCTTCGAAATCTGTCCCAGAACCAGTTTTCAGCTCTGCTACTTACTAGCTGCGAGATGTGGAACAATAAAGAGTTAATTCCTCTGAATCCTCCTCTCCATTGTGTAAAATGTGAATAATAGTAAGATCTACCTTATGAGGAATAAATGAAACCGCAAATGGGCAAGCACTTACGATTGTCCTTGACACAGAGCAGGCACATCGTAGGCATTCAATAAAGCTTAGTTGAATCTGAATTATAGTGTTATGCATGAACACAAGTTAGTACAAAATTCGATATATCCCTTATCAGGGTTTACAGACTAATTGGTGAAGTGCCGAAGAATGGCAGCGTAAAGGCAGCAAAGACCAAGTGCCAAGTGAACAAAACTATGGCAATAGCAATAGGGGAGAGGATTCCTGAGGGCTAGGATAGGTAGAAGAGCTGAGTTCTCTGAGAATCAAGCTTCTGAAGAAAGGCAGCTCTTATTTAGATAGACAGGGAGAAGAGAGCATGCGTGGGAAGAAGAGTTGTCACTATGAGTGGAACGAAGATCAATATCAAGGTGGTTTGTGTATTGTGCTTTACAGTGTCCAAAATCTTTTGCTCAGTTGAACCTTTCTTCAAATCTAAGAGAAGGGGAGGATGAATTTCACTGTCTCCCTTTAAAGAATAGATAAAGATGAAACAGAAACTCTGAGAAGTAAAATGACTTGGCTACGGTAACACTTTTGCTGTGTAGTAGAATGGGGTCCAAACTCCAATATGCTGTCTCCCAGGACTTAGAAAAGTGACAGGGAGAGGAATAGGACTAAAGAAGCTACAGAAAAATTTACGACTTTGAATGACAATGTTAGGGGTTTGCTATTTTTATTCTGCAGGCATAGAAAACCACAAAAGCTTATGACCAAGTACCTGCACAAAGTAATATTTTTGAAAATTAGCCTGGCAGCAGGAGTTGGGGTAGATGTCTCTTCCTCAGACAAGACAGCATTCTCCTAGACTCTATCTCTTCTAAGACCATTGTCCAAATGAATTTTAGTCCAAAGAGGGCTCTGTTCTTTATGCCATCTTAGAGAAAGCCCTCTTAATCAGGAAAATGGAGCTATTAGCACACTGGCAGTCGTTTCTGCTCTGCATTTTAAATTGTTAATTCAATTTATTTCTGGATCAAATATCTATGTAAATCAAGCCAGTTTGCAAAACTGACAGCCTCATGAAAAAAAATATTGGGGGAAAAAGATCATATGCATGACTAAGCTATATTTTAATTTAAGCAAGTGTTCTGATTAAAACATAAAGGGAATGAAAATGGCCTAATGGGAACATCATAACTCACTGAATTGGGGTCAGGTTCATTTTTCCAGATAGCACCAATGCAATGAAAGAAGGCATTGTGTTTGGTAGGAAGACTGAGGTTTTAGAAAGGTCAGATCTAGGTTCAGATCTTAAATGTAAGCTCTACAAGGTCAGGAGCATTTTGCCCCCTGTTGTAGCCCCAGCCCCTAGGAAAATATCTGACTCAGAGTAGGTACTGTATAAATATTTTCAGTATTAAGTAAAATAAGAACTCATCCTGACCACTTACCATTTGGAAAATGTTGGATAAGTGCCGTCACCATACTCTACCTCCATTTCTCATCTGTAAAAGAGAAATAATAATATTATTTACTTTACAAAATTATTATTTTTAAGATTTTATTTATTTATTCATGAGAGACAGACAGAGAGAGAGAGAGAGAGAGAGAGAGAGAGAGGCAGAGACACAGGTAGAGGGAGAAGCAGGCTCCATGAAGAGAGCCTTATGCGGGACTCGATCCTGGGACTCCAGGATCACACCCAGGGCTGAAGGTGGGCACTAAACTGCTGAGCCACCCAGGAATCCCTACTTTAGAAAATTATTGTAAGGGTTAATAACAATGAAGGTAAACAAGACAGGAACTTGTGGAATGGGTTGGTTTATATATCTGCTTTGGAGCCCTGGTCATAACCTGGTGTTTCTTTTTCATGTGTTTCCCAGCATGCTTTGTTGGGCTAAGACATTGTCCTAAAGAGCCCTATCTAAGCCAGACTTTATTTAGGTTTATATCTTTCTCATGGCTTAGTAGAGTGCTTTTACTAATAGGTACTCAATTGTTGAAATTAAATTTTCTAGGGTGGTAAACTTTAAACCAAATTATTCTGATTTAACAACTTGTTCACTTAGAAAGATGATAGGTGTCTATGTAATGGACACTTAAAAAAATTATTCTATGACCTCTTCCACCAAGAGATACTATGTTCTTTTGTCTCATCTTTTTAAACCCTACAAAAGAGTCCCTTCTAAAGTATTTTGAAGATGAGGAAATAGACTTGCAGAAATTGGGTAACAAGCTCACAGTCACACATTAAATAAACAACAGAGCTGACATTTGAACCAGGGCTTTTAGGTTCAAAGCCACTGTACTTTATAGAAGTATTCCATATATATTTGTTGATTGAATTAATGGGCAAAGGCCAATCATGCCCGGCTTTAACTTTGCTTTAGTCACAGAATGTTCTTTTAGTTCCCGCCATGAAGATATTAAAAACAAGGACACTGGCTTTGGTTCAGTTGCTAAAAGCATGTGTCGTCTGGAACTGTTAGGTTTTTGTTAGACTATTCATAAGTATATATCAGTTTTATAAGAGCAAGGGCATCCTTTCGATTTATTATGTACTCTCCCTTCCACCCAAAGAAAGAGAAATGAAATAAAACATAATGCAAAGGCCAAGGTAAAGAAGCTATGAATTTAATGTTCATAATGGTGGTAGCTAACATTTATTATGTACCAATTATGTAACAGGTCTTGGGCTATGTGCTTTATACATACATTATTTCATGAAGGCCCTCTGTGGGCATATTGTTGTCCATAAGTTGTAAAATAAGAAACTGCTCAGAATTCTCCCCAGGCTTCTTGCCTCACTTAAGATGGTGCAAATGTTCTTACCATGGCTCACAAAGCCCTCCATGACCAATTTGATAATCATAAATCGAGTGTAGGGAACATAATATGATGAGTGAGATATTAACACCTGTAACACTTCCACTGCTGCAGATATTAGGGGGCAGTGGAACTGCACAGGGATGTTATGATTTCTGTACTTCTGCCCGATGTGTGGAAACCTACTTCAGTTCAGGCTCCAGCCAGGTGAGAGAACAAGCAGGGTACATCCTTTCCATCTCGGTGGTGATGTTTGAAAAAACTCAAACAGAAAGAGGTAGATAGTTGGCCTCCTGTGGCACTGAGTACAGGGAGGAAATGGGGCTGTGATGCCAGCAGCCAGGGAACAAATACCAAGTTGCAGTCACTGT